CTTAGAGTTTCTGACCAATTATTGGGAAACAAAAAAAATTTAAAATCTTAAATAACAATGAGGGGCTGCCTCACTTTGTCTTGTGGTTTACTCTCAACACTGGGTGACTCCCATGCAAGCATCATATCAAATGTCATACAACGGAACTCCTTGTCACTCAAATAATCTGGGCGACAACTCACTATATGGAGTGCTTGGTATGAGCAAAATTCCAAAAAATTCCTAGCATAAGTCAAAAGTTCCTTAACACTCTCAGGAAGCTGTGTGTCAAAATGATGCTGTAATTCTTCAGTAGGAATTTGAAGAATCCTGCAGCAGCATGAAATGCATTGAGCTTCAAGATTACTAGGAGACAGATTGCTATAACAGTTGGGGAGAGTATATACAAAGGGACATGCATATGTATACAGATGTCACCAGGAGATCAAGGTTAGACAATAAAGCAATACAGAGCAGTACATGCTCACTATCTTAAGGAAATCTATGGATTTCATTAATGTAATGCTTAGCGTTTGATGAAGATGATGATGACAATAGTAATAGTGGCAGAAGTAGTAAAAGGGAACATTTATTGTACCTTTTTTTTCTTTTTATAATTGAAACGGAAAAATAACAAGAAAAAATGGTTAGTTACTCTGCCGAAAGTGCAGGTACAAGTTATGAAGTATCTGTAAAAAATGGTTTTAACTCAACCAACTTCTGTTGTGCACGGGGATTTGAAGATGTGGTTGACATTGCAGGTACAAGTTATGAAGTATCTGTAAAAAATGGTTTTAACTCAGCCAACTTCTGTTGTGCACTGGGATTTGAAGATGTGGTTGACATAGTGCAATACCATTAAGCAATCAAAGATAAAAAGCATCAAAGCATCCATTTGGTTATGATGCAAAAATTTCAGAAACATCTTTTCCTTCACCATGTGAAGGCACTCTCCAGGCATAACAAAAGGAAGGGAAAAGTAGTTTCGATGTTCTAAAGCGACCCAATATTAGGAGAAAAAAATTATGGGGACGTGCAATGTTTTAAAAGGCATAAGAGACAGATTTAGATGGCTGGGAGTTTGATGTAAGATTGCATGTAATCCAGCACACAACGAATCGAAATCAAGGAGGAGGTATTCAGATACACAATTTGTAGCATCCAGACAACGTAATGTGTTATGAGACACCCAGCATTCTTAAAATCAAGGAAAATTTATTAAGACATTCATAGCCGCATTTTGTTTATATACAATTGACAAAACAAACGAAGCCCGAATGTGGTGCTGGTTCTTAGACTTAGAACGTAGCACAAAATGAAAAACAACTGCGACCCATATGACATGCATGTAACAGGAATGAAAGCAATCTTTGTTTCTCGATCTAATGTAAACGAAAATAAATACGCAAACCAATAGATATAAATGAATGAAGATGAGAAAAATAAAGGCGGTATATACATATGCAGATATGAGAAAACAAAAAGAGGGGAGAAAGAGAATGACTTGGAACAGCGGGAGACGACGGAATTGGCCAAAGTAGAGAGCTGAGGAATGGGTTTTGGAGAATTGACAGCGGAGGAAGGGGAGTCTTGGTCATCTCCATTGGACTTGTTGCGGCTGAAAAGGGATTTCAGGGACTTATGATGGCTTCTCGTCGTCGTCAAGAAACCGTCCAACATTCCCAACTTCACATTCTCCATGATTTTATTTATTTTATCTTCTTCTTCTTCTTCTCATCGATATAATAATCTAAATGATATCATCATATCATATCATCCTTGCCAATGCCGACGTTTCTTGATTTGTTTGCAGATACCTCCTCCGTCCCTCTTCCCTTTCCCACAATTTCCTTCTTTTTCCTTCTCGACGTCTTTTTTATTTTATTTTAAATTGTAACCGAAGTTTAGCTTGGAGCCTACACGAAGGGGCTTCAACACTATACGCGACGGGGTTCGGACACTGCTTATCTCTAAGAATCTAGCGTACGGTCTAGCCCAAAAAAATATATATTAACTTGCAGACGAAGGTCTTAGGTTTGAATTTTTATGACATCATAGTTGTGCATATGTGAGAAATCTCCATGCATTATAATTTAGACTATTGATTGTACTATTAAAGAAAAATTCCAGATATTTAAAAGATTGACAATGTATATCTATTTCAGAGTTTTATTTGTATTGTTATGACTTGATTTTTTCAAACTTGATTTATTTTTTGTTATTATGAGTTTGCACTCTTCTTTAGGATGTTTATGCCAGAGTTTCTTCGATCATGTGTAATTGTTAGTGGAGAAGCCCGAGATTTTTTTAATTTTGATGTTAGAACACTCCGTTAGTGTAATTGCACTTTGTGACTAGTTTGTATTTGCCTTTTGTGACTAATGCCTTTTTTGGCTGAATTATGAACGCAATTCCAAAATTTCTCAACCAAAAAAAAAAATTTGACCATGTGTGCAAAATGCTCTGTTTCATTCTACATTATTTATCACTATTGGTCTTGAATTTTTCAGAAATTTTCATTTGAGCCTTTCAACTTACATTTTTTTGGTTTATGTATTAGTTTGATCCTTTTGAATCTAATCATGTTTCGTCAAAATCTTCGTTAAATTTGATCACCTCACCGACTTTTTGAAGGGTATTTTTGTGAAAGTATAATGTATCTACTTATAACACTAAATCTCACATATTTTGCTCAATAAATAATAGATGCTCTCCTTAATGCAATCTAATGTGAGAACCCAATTTGAGAAAATAAAGCTCGAGTTTTAGGACTAAAATGAATTATATTTAGATGAAAATAGACCAACGATGACAAGAGACAAAATGTATCAAAATTTTGGTCGAAATGTGACATCATGGACCAAATTGATATGTAAATCAAAAGATGAAAGATTATATTGATTGATTTGAGAGTTTGACGACTAAAAGATAACTTTTAATACATCGGGTTGAGCGATGACAACTCTTAATCACTTCAGTTACAACTTACAAGTCCCTTACTATTTCTCTCCTATTATGATAAATAACATTATGAAAAAGATAGGAAGAAGGGGCAATACAACCATGTAGGGAAGTGTTTCTAGCAAAACAGAGGTTAGCTTTTGTAGGGGCTTTTTTTCTTCTGGCATCTACAAATGGGCTGGGCTGCCATAAAGGGCAAATGGAATAAATTATCTCATGTACCTGAGTTCAAAGATCAAGCCCCAAAAATGCTTCGAAAGGACAAAGAAGCCTTAAGAAACATCTTGGTTACATTCACCAATAAAAATAACAATAGTTTATAGATAAATTTTCTAGCTTGGCATGAGAGGCTTGTGACATGGAAGCAAAATTGACATAAGTTTAGCACTGAAGAGAAAACTATGCGTTCTTGGGGGGGGGGGAAGGATGAATAGAGCACGAATTTGCTGGGTTTTGTAGGTGAGAGAGAAAACTTGCTCTCTGGATGTGGTTGTTTTAGCTAATGATGAAGTAGTAGGGTGCTGGGTAGTTTCCGGCAGCTAGACGAAAACTCTGTCAAACTTTGGAAAAGTTTACCAAAAGGAAAAATGGGAAGAGATTGAAGGATGGGGCTCGAAATTGCAGAGGTTTCAGAGATGAGAGATAAAACTTGCTCTCTGTATGTGTGTTGTGATGATGGGCAGGAAATGCCTTTTTTTATAGGCGCTGGAAGCTATCATTTTTCAAGAAACCTTAATGGTTTCTATCCAATTTGGCCAAGTCTTTTCCTTCATTTCTCCCTTCATCCCTTTAATCATCCTATTTTGGTGAAATCTCTTTGCCTATTTGCACAAAATCAGGGATTTTTGGGTGCTCAAGGCCTTTTCCCGCAACTACCTCAATGGAGAACTTCTATTTTCAGCCATATTTCTTCCTTCTTTTCTCCCCTCTTCTATAGCTAGATCTGATTGGGGGGAAAGAAATGGGTATGTACACTGGTTTGAAGGGTGTTTTGCTCAAGTATCCCTTGGTTTTTTGGATTTTTTTGCTTGAAACTTGTTCCTTCCCATGTGCTGGAGCCTCCCAGCAGCTCACTGACATGGATATTTTGGCTTTTGTCGTGGCTTTTGTTTTTAGCTAGGTGCTGAAGATTTGTAGATATTTTCTTGGGTTGATTGGGCATTCTAAGACAATAAGTTGGTTCATCAAGTAAATGGGCTAACTTCATCAATTGTTGGGCTATTTTGGTTGAAGTAATGGACTATTTTCTCTTTTGTGCTCATCCATATATTTGGGCCTAAGAAATGGGCTTGAGTTCCGAGGCTCCCAAGCAACCTCGAGACTTCCATTTCTCGGCCCATCAATAGGCATCATGTTAACTTATTACCATCCATACCACAACTCACTCAAGCAAGCCCCGGGCATCTTGCTTGGCCTGGGCCCACTTAAGCTTGTAGCGTGAAGCGTGACGTGTTACTTATTTGCTTAGCGTGGCATGTGTGGAAGTGCATATGACGAATTTTCGCGTGCTCAAATCGGGTTTCTTCTCAATAAGATATTGCATTTGGTCGGGAATATATTTGGGCCAAGTTGTGGATTTTTTGGGCGTCAACAGCTTTCAAAAAATTTAATATTTTATTTTGAGATTGAGAATTTCAATCCATTTATTTCATATGTGGGCTTTACAACTCATCTGTTGGACAAAATTACTAATATACCCCTTTTACGTCAACAATTTTGAGATAGAGTTGACGACAAGGGGTAAAGTGACACACCAAACATTGGTAAGGAGATAAAGTGGGTTACTTTAACTTTCACATGGAATAAGATAAGATTTTACCAATATTTTAGAGGCACTGTAATAATTAAGCCTTTATTTAAATGGATTGGGGGCTAAACCTGAGGACAGGCCCAACCCTTTCCTTAAAAACAAGAAACAAGAGAAATGGTGAATATTGGGTGGGCTAGGAAGCCTAGTATATGGGCCATCAGCTGGATCAGAAAACATGGAGGATTTGAGCCGGAACGATCTCTTGGTTGGTTGAGTCTCGATCCATGACTTTTTTTGGTCAACTCGATCCATGACTTTATTAAATGGAAGATTGCTGCTTATTGTAGTAGCAGAGACGGAGACGATGGGTCAAGTTCAAAGCGAGGCAGCCACAGTGGACCAACAAGGCCACTGGGTCTCCTCTGCTGCACCGTCCGCTTCTCCCTCCTTTTCTTCCATGGACTCTCTTATCGCAGGTACCTCTCTCTCTCCTCCCGATCTCTGTGAATTTGTGTATTATACAGCGTTTCTTGTCACCGTCTCTAGTTTTGAACTGTTTGATGATGTGATAATAATTTTCGATTTCTGATTGTGCTTTGATAATAAAGGGTGACTTCTATTGTCCTTCTATCCTCATTTATGCGGAATTTGTAGGAATTGATCTATTATAGCAATCTGAATATTTGCGGAATAAGTCCCTTATGTAAAATTTTCACTTTGCTATATCATCTAGGAAAGACAACCATAGGCCACCTAATAGACCAAAATCTTGCAACAGACGAAACTCTTATTACTACCCTTTGCATGATTAGTGGAACAAAAAAGGTGGATCCTTTCTTTCATTTCACGTAAGTTTTGCAACTGATTTCGCACACTAGTAAGTAGAGAAAGTTTTCTTTAATTTTGCCCCTACACCCTCCTGTATAATGTTTTTCAGCTCGTATTATAGTATTCGAATCAATCCTTAATTTTTGGAACATTGTTCCTTTCACCATCTGCTACATACTTGACATTCCTGCCATGTTGTGCATTTTCAGAAGCTGCAGCATATGGCAATGATGGGAATGAGGTTGGTCCATTTTAAAGACAAACTTGTTTCTGCTAAAGGGGCGGGTGGGGTATTTGTAGGTCATAGGTTTATTAACTTATAAAAGTTACGGTGGACATTTGTTTTCGACTTCCTTTTTAATTAAGTTTGGGTATCTTAGAGGTGTCGAACTATGCATTTTGCAGTCTCTTGATGCCAAGGCTCAGAAGGCACTGGAATGCCCTTGCATAGCTGACTTACGAAGTGGCCCTTGTGGGCTTCAGTTTTCAGAGGCTTTTGTCTGTTATCTTAAGAGTACGGTGGAAGAAAAGGTAACGTCCAACTATTACTAAATAAAATTTCTTTGCTCCTTGTTGTGCAAACAGGCACAAGCACAACTATCAACTCTTATGTATCTCATTCTGGCATATTATTCCGCATATTTATCAACTCTTATTTACCTACTTGAATGTGATGTAACATGTAACAGAATATGTCATAACTAGGAGTTATTATCATGAAAAAAGAAAAGGAAAAGAAGAATGTAAAATTAGAATGCCCGAACCAAATTGCCTCAAAATTGGAGTTGGTACTAGGACATGCTTCTGAAAACTATCGCTATTGGCCTAAATTTCTAGAACCTTATAGTAGTCTTAAAATGGAAAATACATCCATTTGGTTTGATTTAACGGTCCATCTAGCCACCAAAGGGACTGGAGATCAGGAGTAAATTTTGAGAAGACATTTTTCATGTTTCACTCTTTCTTTTCTACCCTTCTGCGAAATGACAAATTCTTGAAATTTGATCTTTGCCAATTCTGATTATGGTGTGAAATAGATTCTATTGCTTGGTTAGTTACTATCTACTGATAATGTAATCAAGTGGATGTCTTTTTCTCCATTAGTTATTACCATTCTGATGGTCATAAGTTGGAAATCCATAAAGTTTACGATCATCAGATGGTTCTGTTTTAGGTGGAAGTAAATATATAAATTCTAATAACTGTTGCTATTGAATCTCTGAATTCTCCCCGAGTGTAATTAACATGAATGCTTTTTCATTTTCCTTTTTTTTTTAATCTTTGTAGGGATCAGATTGCGTGCATCCATTTGTAGTTTTGCAGAAGTGTATTAAAGCTAATCCTCATGCCTTTTCGAAGGACGTTTTAGAAGAAGAAGTTAAGAAAGAGGAAAAGATGACACAGGATTACAAAATCTCCCCCCCAAAATGGTCCAAGGAATCTCCAAGTCCAAAATCCAAGCTTTAGGAGAAAGATATAAACTTTTTTTTTTTTTTTACCCGCAACAAGCAGTAGTCATTGAATTTTTTATTATAAATAAAGTTGGCCTCCACTGGAGATGCTCAAGCAGGTTTTTGGAATGATTCTTCAGCATTCTTCCACACATATATTTGATCTAAAAATAAGAATCCGAATGTTGAAGCTATTTACCGAGTTATTAAAGAGATGGGGGAAGCTGATCATATCTTTGCTGAATTTTCTTTGAGGCTTTTTTCAAAAATATATATATATTTTTTGGGGTTTTTATTTGTATAAATGCAAAAAATTATAGCATATAATATTAATAAATAGATTCACGTGTTATATAGTACGAGTGAACTTGTAATAGTAGGTGGTTGTGTGATTGTATTCATTGTTTTTTAATAAATAGTATCGCCGCGCGGCTGTATCCTCTAAAAATAATATATTTAAATAGTATAGCCGTGCGGCTATCCTCTTCGACTATATTATATTTAAACAGTACAGCCGCCGGCTATACTGTTTTTTAAAAAATAAAAATAAAACCAAGTATAGCTGCGCGGCTATACGCTTTGAACATATTACGCGGCTATACTGTTTAAAAGTGTTATAATTAAACAGTATAGCCGCTCAGCTATACTATTGATTTAAAAAACCAAGTAGAGCCGCGCGGCTATACACTTTAAATGCACTTTTTTTTTGTTTTAATTTTTTTTTCTGTTTACCGATAAGAGTAGTTTAAATCCCAATCTCTCTCCATCCATCTGCCAAGTTGTAGAAAGGGGGCAAACACATGAAGTATAATGAAAAAAAATAAAAAAATTAGACAGTAAGTTTAATGAAGTACAACACCCATATAATCACAGAGCCTCAACATACAACAAATCAAATTTTATGATGACAATTACGGATTACCCAATTGAAGCAAATGATTCAATTCCTGGATTCTAACAGTGTAACTATTCATGAAGCACGAAACTTAAACTTAATGCAGTGCAGGAAAAAATACAACCAAAAAGTCATATGAAGTGCACAGAGAAATCCAACTAGCATAGATAAAAAGGAAAACATGATCGAACATTCATGAAACCCAGAATTGAAATTAGAGCGTTGCCTAAGAGGAAAAGGAATTGGGGTGTCTCGCAAGTCTTGTTCATGCTTTAGCAAAGTTAGAAACTAAAGTAAAACCATCTGCGGATGCCAAAAAACAAACGAAAATTAGGTGAGCGAAAGCAGAGATGGAGAGAAAAGGAAACTTGTTATTTTTGGGAGAGAAACCATGAATAAAAATCAAATTCTATTAATCTGTTTCAGTTTGCTAAAAAAGAAAACATCCGTACAAAAACCTGCAATGAAAAATGGATCAAAGCCTCTGTAAATTCTAGTCCCTCCAAATTGAAAATTATCAGACCCTAATAACCAAATCAACAATTGAAGATTATCATACCCTAGTCAACAATTTAAATGACCGTACGATACATACGGAGTCCAAATTCTAGTTCATACAATCTCTTGGAACTCTTGCTTTGCTTCCACAGCCCCTGCCAAAGTGTCAAATGTACTTCACATTGCTGTTAACATCAAAACAATTGTATTACACCAAAATGGGAATTTATTGAAGAAAATAAATTGTGGAAAAAAAGAGAGAAGAGAAAATCCAAACTTGTAAAAATCTTCAATTCAAACAGCCATAAATAATTTCAATACACTAAACACGGAAATGGTAATTGCATGGCTGATTCTTAAAGACGTCCTTAAAGGTCTTGCAATGAGTCATCCTTGAAAATTTTCAGGGTGTCTGGAGTGATTAGTGTTGAAAAATGTAGGCTGTAAAGTTTTTCTTAGTGTTTAACCCAATCATGTAATGCACTGTATGCATATGAACAAAAAGATCAAAACTTTAAGCCCAAAAAAAAATATATATAAACACAAAATCTACTATTAAAATTTCAAAAATTCACCTGAGAGAGAGAGAGTGATGTGAAATGTTGAAGAATTAGGCAGAATTGGAAGAAGAAGAAGTAGTAGTAGTAGCGTACCAAAAGTAGAGACTCGTCCAATATCAGTACTCCCACAGCACCACTCCCGCCATCTCTACCTCTCTCTCTAAATATAATAGCAATGGAAGAAGGAACGAAATGTGGAGAAACTGATTTGGGCAAACTGAAAGCAACTGCTCCTTTCTGATGAGGCATCATAATCAAGAGAAAGGTTCAATGAACAGTTACTCTCGTATAGCCGGGTGGCTATACTCTTTGCACAGTACGCCTTCCGGCTATACTAATAAAACGCAAGTATAGCCGTGCGGCTATACTATTTATTAAAAATTAAAAATTAAAACACAGGATTACAAAATCATCCCCCCAAAATGGTCCAGGGAATCCCCAAGTCCAAAATCCAAGCTCTTGAGCATCTCCAGTGAAAGGCCAACTTTATGTTTTTAAAAAAGAAGAATCCGAAATTTGAAGCTATTTACGGATTTATTAAAGAGATGGGGGAAGCTGATCATATCTTTGCTGAATTTTCTTTGAGGCTTTTTTCAAAAATACTTTTTTTTGGGGGTTTCTGGTTGTATAAATGCAAAAAATTCTAGCATATAATACTAATAAATAGATTCACGTGTAATGGTCGGTGGTTGTGTGATTGTAAGATGACTGGCGATTTTTATCCTCTTGAAAATAAATAAATAAATAAATAGTGTAGCTGCTCGGCTATATCCTTTAAAAATAATATATTTAAATAGTATAGCCGCGTGGCGATCCTCTTTGAATATATTATATTTAAGCAGTCCAGCCGCCAGGCTATACTCTTTTGTTTAAAATAAAAATAAAAATAAAACCCAAGTGCAGCCGAACGGCTATACTATTTATTAAAAATAAATATAGCCGAGCGGCTATACGCTTCGAATACCCTTTTTTTTGTTTTAATTTTTTTCCCGTTTATCAATAAGAGTAGTTTAAAAATCCCAATCTCTCTCCATCCATCTGCCAAGTTGTAGAAAAGGGGCAAACAATGAAGTATAATGAAAGAAAGAAAAAAAAAGACAGTAAGTTTAATGAAGTACAACACCCATATAATCACAGAGCCTCAACATACAACAAATAAATAAATAAAAAGACAATTACGCATTACCCAATTGAAGCAAATGATTCAATTTCTGGATTCTAACAGTGTAACTATTCATGAAGCACCAAACTTAAACTTCATGCAGTGCAGGAAAAAATACAACCAAAAAGTAATATGAAGTGCACAGAGAAATCCAACTAAGAAGAAAAGGAATTAGAGCCTTATCTAAGAAGAAAAGGAATTGCAGGGTGTCTCGCAAGTCTTGTTCATGCTTTAGTAAAGTTAGAAACTAAAGTAAAACCATTTGCCGATGCCAAAAAACAAACAAAATTAGGTAAGCGAAAGCAGAGACGGAGAGAAAAGGAAAATTGTTATTTTCGGGAGAGAAACCATGAATAAAAATCAAATTCTATTAATCTGTTTCAGTTTGCTAAAAAAGAAAACATCCGTACTAAAACCTGCAATGAAAAGTGGATCAAAGCCTCTGTAAATTCTAGTCCCTCCAAATTGAAAATAACCAAATCAACAATTGAAGATTATCATACCCTAGTCAACAATTTAAATGACCGGACGATACATAAACAAAAAGATTAAAAAGACCAAATTATAGTTCATACAATCTCTTGGAAGTCTTGCTCCTTTCTGAACAAAAAGATCAAAAAGACCAAATTCTAGTCCAATTGCATATGAACAAAAAGATCAAAACTTTAAGCACTAAATATATATATATATATATATATATATAAACACAAAATCTACTATAACAAGAGAGAGAGTGATGTGAAATGTTGAAGAATTAGGCAAAATTGGAAGAAGAAGAAGTAGTAGTAGTAGTAGTAGTAGTAGTAGTAGCGTGCCAAAAGTACCATAATCAACCGAGCATATCCAATATCAAAATGACTAGCACCAAGGCAGACACGCCTTCTTCGTCGTCGAAGGCAGACATTATTCCGAAGTAGCAGCCATCTGTCGAAACTCCAACTGCCGAACCTAATCTCCAAGGACACGTGACTTGCACAAAGTTCTACATTGAAACTTTGTGCAAACCACCCACTTTCACTTCCTTATAAATAGGGAACAATACCTAAGTAAAAAAGGTAACTTCTCTATCACTTTTACTGTTACTCTGCAAATTTTACCACACTTAGCTGACTTAAGCATCTGAGAGCCTTCTACCGGCACCACACCGGTGTCTGAAGCTTAATGACTGCTTCTCCTACTTTGTCTTCCGCAGGCTCTCTCCTTGCCGAAGGTCTTCACCTTCTCCCCTGATGAAGACTATCTACTTTCTCTCTAAGTTGACCTCCCAAAAAACGCATCAACAGACTCGTCCAATATCAGTACTCCTACAACAACACCCACTCCCGCCATCTCTACCTCTCTCTCTCTCTCTCTCTCTCTCTCTCTCTTTCTCTTTAAATATAATAGCAATGGAAGAAGGAACGAAATATAGAGAAACTGATATGGGCAAATTGAAAGGAACTGCTCCTTTCTAATGAGGCATCATAATAAAGAGCAAGGTTTAATAAGCAATCACTCTAGTATCGCTGCGCGACTATACTCCTTGAATATAGTATATGAAATAGTACGGCCGCACGGCTATACCATTCTCTACTTGTTTCTTCAGCAACTGCATTTCTTGGATGAAAAGTAATACTACCACTTTGTGGCACTACACCAATTCCATTGTTCAACTTGCCTTGGAGAGGTCTGGGTTCTCCTCAACTAGTTCTACTAATTATGTTGTTTGTCAGTCCTGTTTAAAAGGCAAATTTACTAAGCTTCCTTTTTCTTTTGGTGTCTTCAAAGTCAGCAACACCATTTGAGGTTGTTCATAGTGATCTTTGGGGACAAGCAACACCATTTTTTCTTACTTTTTTTAATTAAATAGTATGCCCGCGCGGCTATACCTTTTTTGACACGTAGTATAGTTGCACGGCTATACCACGATTTTTTCCTACAAAATAGTATCGCTGGGCCGCTATACTTGTTTTGACACGCGGACACCTAATTGCTACGGAGCCGTCTTTTTCAAACACAAATTAGTATAGCCGGGCGG